GGAGTCGGTTTATTAGGCAGTGAGAACCTAATAAACCGACTCCTTCTATAGTTGTAACACACACAGTGAGAAAGTTTCTTACAACTCTAGACATCTTGCAGATGACACGGTCTTTTTATGATTATTATTGAATATTTTTAGTCAAATTAACGTAGTTATTATCAGAATAGCAGAGTAACTGTGAAGTAAATTTTTCGTTGCCTGTTATCACGTGCTGGTTTTCGTTGCCTGTTATCACTTGATGGTTTTGGCATGGTTTATATTATATACAAATTCATACAATTGTTTCGTTGTCGGAGATAAGAATAAGAAATGCTTAAAACTGCCGTTAGAGGGAAGTTTTATTCAACATTTAAAGTCAGATGTTTTAACCTAAAATAATCACTTTTGTTTTTATTTAGTTTTTTTTTTTTAAATAAAGATGATATTTTTCAACAGATTTGGCGGGAATACGACACAGATGGCAGTGGATTTATTGAAGCGGACGAGTTAAAGGTTAGTTTATTTCCTTACTTGAACTTCTTTTAACGTTATTAGCGAAAATTGTGTTGATTTCAATTTCTTGAAAAACTCGTTAGCAATGAGTTGTTATTTAATTAGATTTTTCCAGTTAAGTTGATTTCGATCCCAAAATAAATAAATAATTTTTAGCAGAGATATATTTCATTTTATGCTTTTGTTCTTGCTTTTTGTGTGTTCTACTTTATTTATAGCGCAGGCGAATAATTTTTGGTTGATAAAGATTGTGATTCGCACTTAGGATCAAAACGGAAACAATTTAATTTCTGTTATCCATATTTTCCAGAATTTTCTGAAAGACTTGTTGAAAGAGGCCAAAAAAGAAGGATACAACCCAATAGATGAAGACAAACTGATAGAGTATACAGACACTCTGGTGGGTTTTTAATTTTTAGAAAAAGGCTTAGTTAATTCCATTTCAATTTAATAATACGTATGTTATTGTATAAAAACAATGGAATAATTATTTTGAATGTAACATCTAACGAGAAATGATGTAATAAAAATAGCTAAAGATATATGTTTACTTAAGCTCACAAATGATTAATTATTATTGTATGTATTACGATTATGGTTTTCAGAAAGGGGTGTCTTAGGCCTAAAATGCTATGCTAGAACATTAAAGGTAGATATTACATCGCAAACTAAAGTCTGTGTGTAATAAAAATGCTTAAAGGTTTGGCAAAGTAATAATTAGGCTTACCTTTTACGGGTTAAGTTTTCCACTTTAGGGTTATAATTATGTGTATATTTGCGATAGTGTAAATAGTCCGCCATTTGTCGTCTGCAATCTAACATCAAATTATTTGAGTGTTGTTTTTAGTTTTTGCTTAGCTTCAATGTTCCTGCTATTTTTCATTGTTGATATTTTTTAGTGTTTTAGTGTCCCTGCTATGTTTTAATGTTGATATTTTTTAGTGTCCCTGCTATGTTTTAATGTTGCTGTTTTTTTAGTGTTTCAGTGTCCCTGCTATGTTTCAATGTTGCTAATTTTTAGTGTTTCAGTGTCCCTGCTATGTTTCAATGTTGCTAATTTTTAGTGTTTCAGTGTCCCTGCTATGTTTTAATGTTGCTGTTTTGTAGTGTTTCAGTACCCCTGCTATGTTTTAATGTTGCTAATTTTTAGTGTTTTAGTGTCCCTGCTATGTTTTAATGTTGCTGTTTTGTAGTGTTTCAGTATCCCTGCTATGTTTCAGTGTTGCTAATTTTTAGTGTTTTAGTGTCCCTGCTACGTTTCTCGAAGTGTGATGATATAGATATCCAGATAACTGTTTTGAGAGTATATTTAACAGAGAATGAATTATTTTATAGCTTCAGATCTTCGACACGAACAAAGATGGAAAACTACAACTGAGTGAAATGGCCAAGTAAGATGTTTTTGTAATGTTAGGGTTTTTAGTTGTCTTTACATAGAACGTACGTTTTACTGAGATTTGAAGAATATGTGGTGAGTAAATAACAACGAAAAATATCACACAATTAACCAGTATAAGAAGTCTGGTCTTGTTTTTACGATTTGCCCTTGTCTAGGGTTATGTATGAGGGGTCCAAATCCACGAAACCAGTATAAGTCAGTGGCAAGTGATGAATGAAAGATTATGGTTCGTATTTGTTTTTTCGTAATTTTAGGGTTTATAAACATAAAATTGAAATGGGTTTTCTATTTTTAATATCATGGCGTCCTCGTGAATAGGACAAACACGAAAATTTGAAAGTTAGTTGGACAATTAACTGACAAGATGTTTTTATGATTGGCTAGTTACTGTAGTGGTCAATTACAGAGAAGACTTGTTCTAAAAACCTAAACATCATCATGTTTTATATTAAGTCTTGCTAACGAGCCTCTACATAGATGATATCAGTATAATTTTGGCCTTAAAAGAACTATCCGCTCTGGAGTTCTACTAACAAGTAAGGCTTAGGTTAACTTGTTCTACTAACAAGTAAGGCTTAGGTTAACTTGTTCTACTAACAAGTAAGGCTTAGGTTAACTTGTTCTACTAACAAGTAAGGCTTAGGTTAACTTGTTCGACTAACAAGTAAGGCTTAGGTTAACTTGTTCGACTAACAAGTAAGGCTTAGGTTAACTTGTTCGACTAACAAGTAAGGCTTAGGTTAACTTGTTCCACTAACAAGTAAGGCTTAGGTTAACTTGTTCCACTAACAAGTAAGGCTTAGGTTAACTTGTTCCACTAACAAGTAAGGCTTAGGTTAACTTGTTCCACTAACAAGTAAGGCTTAGGTTAACTTGTTCTACTAACAAGTAAGGCTTAGGTTAACTTGTTCTACTAACAATTACGGCTTAGGTTAACTTTGTCTTCTTATTCTATACAGACTTATGTACCAAATATTTTTCACGTGAGATTAGTTAACTAATATGGTCCTTTTTACGACGTACAATATAGTGTGTACACCATAGTAGGACGTTCCGTCACCAGGGTGATACATTCCTGCTTATCATGGTTGCCTATTTCACGTGTTATGCGCTATGAATGTTTGGATCATAATTTAAGATTAATGCGTTATTATCAAGTTATGAGACGTTATTTACACCAAGAAATAACACAGCAGAATTCCCCAAATCATAGAAGTGAAATAAACGTCAATTTATCAAAGGTTCTGTAGCAAAATACGTGATAAAGAAATCTTGTCGTAAGCAGTAGTTCCAGAATCGTTAGGTGAATTTGATTCGCTGATTGATTGATTTGAAAATATCAGTAAGGCTTTTATTTCACACTTGAGTTCACTCTAAATCCAGTTGTTTCCATGATGTTTGGCGGAAAAAGATAAAGCCCTCAGCTGTATCTTAATGATGTAGTTAAGGCCAGTTTCGCGTGAGTACTGTGTTTAACAATGGTGAACTGAGTTCGCGCTAACGCGTGTAATATATTATTGAGTTAAACAATACGTTTAGAAACGTTACTTTCAGTATTATATTACCGGTGTTCGCAAAACTATTTATTACAAGAGGCGGGCGTTTAGTAACTAAATAAATATCAGGCTAACTTGGAGAGATAGATAAACAGACAGAATAAGAACACTTGGATACTTTATTATTTAGGATAACAAGTCTCTGAACACTTGGATACTTTATTATTTAGGATAACAAGTCTCTGGAGACTTGGAGACTTTATTATTTAGGATAACAAGTCTCTGAACACTTGGATACTTTATTATTTAGGATAACAA